GCGGAGACTGGGGAACTCTGGTTCAAGGAGCGAGCGAGGGCGGAGAGTAAAATTTCCCTGGATCGAATCCCTCTGGTCTTCCACTGAAAAACTGTACGAAATTAACCTGGATCTAGGAATCCTGAAATTTAAAGGCATTTGGGGGAATATACAGGTGCCACAGTTGTCTTGGTGACAGGTTATGTCCTGGTAGGTGCAAAGTCCAGCCACTGTGGGGTCAAGCTCTGGTGGCACACTCCTGTAATCCCAGCACTCTGGGACGCTGAGGCAGCAGGGTTCCAAGCTTGAGCCCAGCCTGGGCAATTTAGCAATTTAGTGAATCTTGTCTTAACATTTAAAAACAATTTTTTAAAGCACCTCAGTTTAAAGGAACCAGATGGGAAGCTGCTTGAATAAAATGAGTTAATGATTTCCAGTTGGCCACCAGAATTTTCTCAGTTTCATACCCTCCCACACAAGGGGGTCTTAAACTCAGCCTTGCAGTCAGTGGGTTAAAATACAGGGAGCTGGACCCTCGCCCTGGCTTTCTATCTTTTTATCTCTTTCTTTCTTTCTTTCTTTCTTTCTTTCTTTCTTTCTTTCTTTCTTCTTTCTTTCTTTCTTTTTACGGAACTGGGGATTGAACTCAGACCCTTGTGCTCGCCAGGAAAGCACTTATTCCACTGAGCCATCTCCCCGGCTTTCTAACTCAGTGGGTCCAATGGACTCCCAGGCAAGGACTAGGCTGTTGCTCCGTGGCCGCACTGAAAAGAACCATTGCTTTAAGAACTGGCCAGATCAGTACACCCTTTCAAGCCAAAGACTGGCATGGTATCATGGGGATCCCCACAGCCCACCCCCAAATTCTCAAAGCAGTACCCACAGCAGGCACAGAGGTGCTTGGGTGGTCCAGAGGGATTTGTGCCTACAAAACAGATTGTGTCTCTGGTCTCCTGTGCTTCTGGACTGAAAAGGTGGAGGGGGAAAGAGTGGTGTCACTGGGGGAAGGGTTTGAGCTTTCCTGGACAGGCTCTACCTGAGGCTTTCTGGTCTTTGAAAGAGGAGCTAGTCTCACTCTAAGAGTCGCTAAGTACCTAGGCATGCAGGTGCACACTGTAATCCCTGAAATCTGGGAGGCTGAGGCAGGAAAACAGAAAGTTCTATTCCACCCTGGGCAATTTAGTGAATTAGAGATCTTGTCTCAAAATTTACATTTTTAAAAATGGGCTGGGGCTGTCGCTCCCTGCAAAGGCCCTGAGTGCATTCCTCACTAACACAAAAAAAGAGTCAGTAGGTGAGCTGAGTAGCTTCCTAAAGAAGCAGGATTGAGGGTGATGCACCCCCCTCCCCCAGTGAGGGTACCAGTACTGCGGCCCTCATCCCTGGGGTCTCGCAGCGTATTTGCTTAATCATGTTCTTACCAAGGATCTAAGTAGTTACAAAGGCTGTACTGACATCTCTTTAAACTATGCCAAATAACTACAAGGAAATCTGAATTTCAGAGTGATTTGATATTAATCATGTCCATTTTGGGGGTGGTACCAGGAATCGAACTCACAAACCTTAAGCTTGCCAGGCAGGTGCTGTGCCACTGAGCTACATCCCTGGCCCTAATCATATGCATTTGTAAGGTCCCAGAGGTGGGGAGATCTCTTCTTATTGAGTGTTGAGTTTGCTCTACCAATGTGTTCTGACAAAACAGCAATGGTTTGAAAACACTTCTTTTTTTTCCCACTCCGAATGCCTTCAGGGCAGGTTTGGCTGGCTTGAGTTGTGGGGATCGAACCACAGCAACCTGAGCTTGACTGCTTTGTTGAAGCAGCCACTTAAAAGAACTGAGCTACGGGGCAGGCCCCCTGAAAACCCTTCTTTCCGATGCGTGTGTGTGTGTGTGTGTGTGTGTGTGCGCGTGTGTGTGTGTGTTTTGAACTGGGGATTGAACTCAGGCCCTTGCGCTTGCCTGGCAAGTGCTTATTTTACTGAGCTATCTCCCCGGCCCCATGTGTTCTAGAAAAGAACAAAAAACAGTCTCTTCTATCTGAGATAAGATTCATGGATTCCCCTTTGAGGCTCCCCAGGCAACAGCCATTCAAGGCAGACTCAGATGCTTCCAGTTTCTAGTCTTTCCTCCATCAGGTCCACTGCACTGTTTGGCCACCTGATCAAGTAGAACAAAATGCTCTCTGTGACCCACTACCCCATCTCTTCTGTTCCTACCACTTTCCACAGCTACTTCTTACCAGACTTGTTTACTCATCCCCTAAAAAAGTGAAACTCTGCCAGCACAGGAGCACACATCTGTAATCTCAGCATTCTGAGAGTCTGAGGCAGGAGGACCACACATCTGAGGTCAGCCTGAGGTAGGACAGATGAAATAAAAGGGGAAAAGGAGATGAAGAAATCATGCAATAATTTTAGGAAGACTGCAACTTCTAGGACGCAGCCAATATTACTCAAGGTGATCCAAGCATTTCCTTAAATTTAGGATCCTTTGGCCAGGCATGGTGGCACAAGCCTATCATCCAAACACACAGAAGGGCAAGGCAGGAGGATGACCCTGAGTTGAGGCCAGCTTAGGCTACATAGTGAGTTAAAAGCCAGCTTGGACTACATAACTAGGGCTCCTTTCCTGGCAGACCTATTACACCCCAAATTCCTCAGGAAAATGGAAAGTCCATAAATTGGATTAATTGAGAAGATAAAGAGCAGGAACCTGACCCTAAGATTAAGGAGCAGAATCCAAAAATGTTTAAATTTTGTTAAAAAGCTCGCACATACCTGTAGAATGGGCTAGTACCTTTTGTGGGGCATCTTTTCCTGGGGTTTCCACTCCTTTAAGAGAAACATAAATGTTCCCTATTCTAGGAAATAATATGCTTCATTTCTCAAGTGCCTGCACCCCATCTCTGTGTCCTAAAACCTCTGAAGGTTACTCTTCCCCTGCCTCTTAGAGACTCATCCTGAAAATTCTTTATTCACAGTGGAAGTCATTGATCGAATATGGACTTGTTCTACAATTGGGTTAATGTTTCTTATTGCAGTTTCAGGCTCTCCGTCCCAGCCCAAGTGACAAGCCTGAGCAATTTAGTGATTTAATAAGACCCTGTCTTGAAATAAAAAATAGAAATGGCTAAGACTGTCACTCTGTGCCAAGGTCCTGGGGTCACCTATTTTCCTGCCCTCCAAATCCACCTTTTTGGTCTAATCCTTGAGCGACTATTGATTTTATAAATTGTTCTTTTCATTGTATGGTCTTAGTATCCTTCACCCCACCCTCAAAATAACCCTTTCAAATAGTGTTTCGCTATTAAGTCTGAATGTTTAAAAATCTGACATTCTATGCAACATTCTTTATTTTATTTTATTTCATTTATTTCTCTGTATTTAGTAAAGGGTCCACAGGGTCTCACCACACAGATCAGACACATACGGTTCCTCCCGTTTTCAGCCTCCCAAACTCTGGGATTACAGGCATGAGCCACCACACCCAATCTCAATTAAGGTCTCAGCATGCCCTGGGGGTGGGACCCACATGGCACTTGGGATCAAACCTTGGTCCCTATGACTTCCTGAGCAGGCGCTTTAATCCACTGAGTCATCTGGATGGCCCTATGCAACATTCTTTATATTCGGCTTCTGTTACAGCATCTTATACAAGCTTAAGGTACTATACCAAACACCTTCTTGTGCTTTTCTGTCACAAGAATATATAGATGAATTTGAGCTTGCTAATTCTGAACATTTTTTCTATGGCCATAAGGTTGTAAGTGGTCCCCTGTTTTCTTTCCAGATCAAGATAGTGTTGCAGTATCAGCACTACATTCAATCAAAATCTATGTGCAGCATGTCGTCAGATTATATAAGAATCTTTCAGATTTCCACAGCAACCTCCACTTCTCTGTCACAAGAATGCCTCTGAAGAGCTATCCACTTGTAAAAGAAATTTACATCTATCTACACAAATAAGCAGCATTTCTATCCGAAATCCCCCACTTTCTACAACAAGGAGAGATTTGGACGTTCAAAACCTGCACGGCCAGGGGGCCCAGAAGGCTTCATCTGCATAACTAGACAACCCGGCTGGCTGGCTCGTGGTGGCTGCCCCACGGACTTTCACAGCCCATGCACCTGCCAGAACCCCCAGCCCAAGCCCCTACCCCTTAGGGCTCCAAGTAGACCTCAGTCATCTGGTCCCTCTTGGAGTCCCTGATTACTATCCCTTATGCAGGTACTGCAAAGTGTATGTTTTTGTTTGTCTATTGCCATTTTATTACATAGAATAAAACTACCAAGGGCTGGAGACATAGCTCATTGGACAAATGCTTGCCTAGCATACACATGGCCCTGAGTTCAATTCCCAGCACCAGAAGAGAAAGAATAAAACTACCAAGACCGAAGAGGGAAAACAGCAAACCCAAACTACCCTACGTGAATAAATGAATTTTTTTTTTAAGTATAGCAGAAACTTTTGTTGTTCTTACTGGGGCCTGAGCTCAGGGCCTACGCCCTGAGCCACATCCCCAGCGCGTGCCCTTCTTAAAGCAGAGCCTCACTAAATCGCTAAATTGCGTAGGATGGGCTCGCATTTAGAACCCTCCTGCTTGAGCCCTCTATGGGGCTCGGATTACAGTTGCGTACCACCATGCCTGGCGTAAGCCTTTGATTTTGAAGAACAGCACCTGGTATTTACTGTATTTCTTCGCAGAATCTCCAGAACTCTGGAGGAGGTAGTGACTACTGTTCCATTTCGCAGATGGGGATGTACTCTGTTGTACCAAAGGAGCCCACAGCTCTACCTGGGTAGCCCAAGGAAAACGAGAACCGGTGACCTGGAGCAGAGTCCGCTTGGGTCTGGTCTCTTTAATATTTCCCGCTCGCGCACCAAGCAAAGTCCTAGGCCACGCCCCTCCAAGAGTCCTTCCCCTTCCCCTCCAGCACGCCCACCTGCAGTACTGACGTTCGACCAATCAGAAATGGTTTTAGGCGGGGGCTGCCGTCCAGCGAGCCAATAGGAGGGCAGCCGGATCCGGGCTTGCCGGGGCATGTGGGAGTTGCGGCCGGCCGGCTAGGGGACACGTGCGGGCCGGAAGAGGCTGCCCGGCTTCAGGTGAGCAGGGGACCCGACCGGCGCGGCGGATCGCGGCCCTTGGAGGGGGGTGAAGCAGACCGGCCCGGGGGACGGATCCCTTCCTGGCTCGGAGGCCCGGGCCTACCGTGCGGCGCCAGGCGGGATCCTTGGCCTGGGCACCAGGACCGGTTGGTGGCAGCGCCCAAGGCCTTGTGCGGACGCCGGCCGGCAGGAGATCGGCCGCGCTCTCCGCCCGCTGGTTTTGCTTTTTTGTCCTGTGAACCTTTTTTTAGTAACTGAGATCTTATTGAGTCAGTTTCGCCTAAATCTGGGCCGTTTTGAGACTTTTTGGCTTGTGGGTGGATTGTCCGTAGACACCATGATCCTCGGAGAAGTTGGGTCGTGCACGCCTGCCTGTATTTTCACTCTGGGAACCTGAGGCAGGAGTATCGCAGATTCGAGCCTAGCTTGGGCAACTCAGCGATTTGGAGAGAGCCTGGCCCAGATTTTAAAACTCTATTTTTTTTTTTTTTTTACAGTATCGGGATTGAACTCAGGACCTTGTGCTGGCCAGGCAAGTGTTTGTTCTACTGAGCTATCTCCCTGGCCCAAAAACTATATTTTTAAAAAAAGGTTGGGGATGTATGTAGTTCTTCGAAGGCCCTGGGTTTCATCCTCGTATGGCAAGGGGAAAATTCCAGGATCCTCTCCCCAAGGAAGTTCAGATGGTATGGTGGTGGGCCGGAGAATCTGCCTTTTAACAGATCTAGTGTTTCTGTTTTACACCCTAAATCTAGCTAAAGCTACGCCTGTCTAGTCGCACGTCACTGGTGATTCCGGCTCTGTCCCCCCCACCCCCCCCCCCCATCTTTGCTTCCTGGACTTTGCTACTGCGGCCCTCTCCTTGGGCCGGGGACCCCTGCTTCAAAGCCTGCTGCTCAGACCCTCAGAGCACAGGGCAGTCTGGACTGAGATTTGTGTCTGCCCTTGCGGAAGGGGCTGTGTTCCATGAGCCTGCTCCATCTGGTCACTGTTGGTTCTGACTCAGTGAGGCCAGGGCAGGTGGAAGAGGCCTGCTTTTGCCCCTTCAATCACAAGACCACTGAGACCTTTTCTCCAGGTACCTGATTTAGCTTCTTTAGGACCTTGTGTCAGGCAGGAAAACCACCCACCCTGTGACCCTCAGCCCCTCAGGAGAGCTCAACCAGTTACTAGCAGGGCCAGCTTGTGCTTCTAAGTGCAGGTATTTATTCTCCCATTTTCCAGCTAAGGCATATCGGGGTTCTGAACCTGTCACTTCTGACAATTGCTGCTAACTTTGACCACTGCAGTTAAGCATCTTCTTTAAAGGGAGGAGGCTTTGGGGAGGGACTGAGCAGGTGCAGGCTGGATGAGTCAGGATGGGCCACCAAGCCTCACCCTGGCCCTCGGTGCCAGGAGGCCTCGTGCACAAGCTGGTGTCAGCAAACTTGAACCCCACCTCACTTCCTGCCTCTTTCCATTTCTTTTTTCTTTCTTCTTTGAATGCCTTCAGGGCAGGTTTGGCTGGCTTGAGTTGTGGGGATCGAACCACAACAACCTGAGCCTGACTGCTTTGTTGAAGTAGCCACTTAAAGTCCTGAGCTAAGGGGCAGGCCCCGCCCCCTTTCCATTTCTGCTGCTACTGCCCGGGTTCTTATCCAGCCCGCACTTGTTCCCAGAAGGCAACTGGGATCAGTTCACCTTCCCCCTAAAGTCCTTTGCCTGTTCCCTATTCATGCCTGAGGAGACCTATGAGCACTTGTCAGGCCTCCACCTGTCTCTACTCTCTGCCTCTGCCCTTTGAACTGTGACTGGCAGGGCATGTTTTAGCTCCTGGGCTTTGGGTCTGTGGCTTTTTCTCAGAACCTTTCCTTCCTCAACTGCTTGGTGGGCTGACCTTGCTGGACCCCTGCAGAGTTTCCCCTCCACCTCTAGGCCTCCTTTAGCTGGTGTCTCTGCCTGTCCTGTGCCCCTGCCCTGGGTCCCCTGCTGTCCTCCTGACCACACTTCTGCACCTTTGCGTCCCTCTCCTTCCCACCCACTTGAATTCCTGAGGCCACCATGAACTCTGTCCCTGTGGTCCTCACGGTCTGGGTAGAAGACAAACCACCTCTACTCCCTTCACACTTTTCCAGAGGGTGAGGGCGGGGGCAAGGCTGACATGGGCTGGGACAGACACCTGCAGGACTCGCTCGCTGCCTTCACAGGCAGAGGTAGACTATGTAACTATGGACTTTGAAGTGTGTAGTAATTCTGGTCAGAGATGCTAATCAACGTTTCAGAGACCTACCCAGGGGCTCCTGCTCAGCCCTTTTTAAATTTTGAGTCAGGGTCTCACTAAACTGCTTTGCTAGCTCAAAGCTGCCGTCCCTCTACTTCCTCCTTCCAAGAGTGCTGGGATTATAGGTGAGTGGCATCACATCTGGCAGATTATGGTTCTTGTCAGTCTTTTTCTTTTACTAGTTGGGCAGAGTTCACGATATGCCTCAGGTTTGTTTTTTTCCTCGAAAGCTGGGATGATAATACGATTCCCTGGAGTTATAGCAGTCCTCCAGAAGTGGTGGTCGCCATGTAAGTGCTGCTCCTGATGAGGCAGGTTGCCAACGCAGCTGGGAGCTGGGAGCTTCGGTACTGGGGTGGGCTGGCCACCTCCTCACGCAGCTGCGTTGCCTATGTTCTCTCTGTAGGGTGCTGCCCTGAGGACAGACCGCCTCCCTGGCGTCCCTTGCCACAGGCTGTGAACTGACTGGCATGGTCCAGGGGGAAGGCCCTGGGTCTACTCAGTGCCTGTCCAACACCAACCCGAATACGAAGGATGTGCTGCGGAGAAGGCACAAGAGGAGGAGCCGACAGCACCAGCGCTTCATGGCCCGGAAGGCCTTGCTGCAGGAGCAGGGGCTGCTGAGCGTGCCTCCGGAGTCGGGGACCTCCCCGTCGGAGGCACGGCCAGGCTCTGAGGCTGCCAGCAGTGGGAGGCAGCACCCCAGGGCTGGATCTGCGGGCAGCAGCCTGGGCAGCAGACGGCCGGCCTCCAGGGAAGCCCCAGGGCTCTCACCCAGCAAGTGTGTGGCTGTTGACTGTGAGATGGTGGGCACAGGGCCCCGAGGGTGTGTGAGTGAGCTAGCCCGCTGCTCTGTGGTGAGTTACCATGGTGACGTTCTCTATGACAAGTATATCCGGCCTGAGATGCCCATCGTTGACTACCGCACTCGCTGGAGCGGCATCACGCGGCAGCACATGCGCAAGGCCATCCCTTTCCAGGTGGCGCAGAAAGAGGTGAGGGCAGGGTGGGGGCTGACCAGGGCTGAGTGGGGGCTGGGTAGGACAGCCCTAAGTATGAGTACAGCTCAGATCCCACTGAGAGTGAGACCTTCAGAAAGTCCCTTTATTCCCTCCTCCGAATGATAAGTTCCTTCTCCATACATGGTGCGTGATCAAAGAATATGATAGATGTGATTTTTAATTTTTTAAAACAACTGTAGTAAAATACAGATTTTTATTAATCTTCAAAATTTTCCCCCAAAATGTTCTCTTTGAACACATGTATCTCATTGTTCTTTCCACTTTCCAAAAACAGTTTTGGAAGTCCTCCTTTGTGTCCTTTTGCACCTGCCTCAATGTCCTGAATTGGTTCAAAATGTTTGCAGTAGTTTCTGTCACAGTGTGTTCTCATGTGCCTTTTTCACTGGCTCTGGTACTGTGCCATCTGACTCTTCCCCAAAGTCAAAATGAGCCTGAAGGGAAATGTTTCGAATCCCTGTGGGCGATTAAGGCAGCCACAGCAGTGTAACTGAAGATCGTCCTGAAGGAGGGCTTCCAGAACTGCCTCAGAAGGTAGCAAGAATGCTGGGGCGCGTTGTGTTTGAGGTAAGGGGGAGGGTTTTGAGGGGGACTGGCAATGTGCCTTTTACTGTGTTCACCATATTTTGTGATCACACCTTGAGTAGAAGTCCTGGCCCTACCTCGGTGAAGTGTTGGTGGGCAACACACGGTAATGTCTGTAGGAGGCCATGCCCATAGTAGAGATCAAACAGCTTCCCTTTGGCGTTTGCTTTGTGCTATAAAGTGTTAGGTGTGAAGTGCAGGGCCCATATCCCTCAACCCTTCAGGTGTTGAGATGTCCTATTTCTTTTTTTTTTTTTGGCAGAACCAGGGATTGAACTCAGGCCCTTGCACTTGCCAGGGAAGTGCTTATTCCACTGAGCCATCTCCCTGGCCCCTGAGATGTCCTATTTCTTTACCCTGGTTTTTTTTTTTTTTTTTTTTTTTTTTAAGTGCTTTGAAAAACTTGCTCAGTGGTTGGGACTGTAGCCAGAATTCTCAGGTGCTCTTGACCATAGCAAACTTCTAAAATCTGATTAATGAGCAGCGCCCTTGTCCACAGGTTCCCTCATGAAGATTCTGATCCTGCAGGTCTGTAGGCTTGGGGGAGGGTCCTAAAAGTTGTGCTAAGTGTACACAATACCGAATGTACATGAGAAAATAGCATTATGTGCAACGGAGTGAAGCGACTGTAGTGGTCAGTGACACTACAGAAATCAAGGGAGAGAACAGAAAATGATAACGCAGTTTTGCCCGTGTGAAATGGTCAGCGATGCACGGTCCAGCAGTGGCAAGGCGCTTTACCTTGAGAGTCCTGCAGTTCGCTGGTAGAAGCTGGTGCCGGGAGGGCTGCTGCTTGGGCTCTGGAAGTGTGTGCAGAGGAGCTCTTTCTGAAGGCAAAGCCATACCGCTGAGGTGGCTACAGCAGTCATTTCTTAGGAGGGTTATAAATTCAAGGCGAGCGTCGACGGTTTAATTTAGCAAGATCCTATTGTAAGATGAAAAGGATTGGGGATGTAGAGCACCCTGGGCTTCGAATCCAAGTTTAATCCCTCATGCTGAGAAGAAAGTGGTCCATGTAGGTGTGGCCGGCTGTCCACCTAGGCTGGTGGGTGCACTAGTATGAGTGTGTGGTGTGTTTTCTCTCAGCCCTGTCCAGCTGGGCTCATTTCTCAGAGATAAAATCAGGCATGAGCAAAAGAGAAGTTAATAAATTAACATTCTTAAACAGTCATTGTATTAGACCAACTTTGCATTTTCAAAAGAACAGCTTTGTAACCCTTCTAGGCTGCGGGGATTGGGCAAGGTGGGGGAATACTGCTGTACCTCACCTTCCATCCAGCTCATGCAGTTGTTCTTTGGAAGACTAGAGATTACCCAGTGTGCCAATAGGGAACAGAAGCAGTGGGAAGGCCTGTATGAGCCCCTCAAGGACTCCCCTCCCGCTGGCTGGGGGATGAGGTAGGAGACTTGTGCGGTGACGCAAACTGGGGTCTGAACACATGTCATGTCTGTCTGAGGTAGGTTGTGTGAGATTAGCAGGTGTGGGTGGGGTTACAGGCCCAGGGCCTGGACATGGCCTCCTTGGGTGCTAGGAAGAGGGACGCATTGTGTACCGAGACGGGATTGGAGGACGAGGAGGAGGAGTCAATGCACAGAGCAACGCAGGGGCAGAATCCTGGAGCCAGTCTCTTCATACTAATGAGCTTCTGCCTTGGCTGTATGTACTGGCACCAGGCATGGTTCTGTTGACCTCAGCTGGGCCTTTACTGACCAATACCTAATAATAAGTCAGTAGATTGGAGCAGCACTGGTCAAGTCACACAGGGTCCTGGTGCAGGAGGTGTGGCTACACCATCTTGAGCAGAATGTGTCCCTGGAAAACAGAATGAGTTCTGAAGGGGAAAGTGGGGTCCTGGACAGGGTAGACACCTGGATCCTGAGACCCACAGCCCAGGGGGGAGCTGGGAGCAGAGCTCACGCTGGCAGTGAAAGGTTTTGTATACACCTAGGGATGAGAAGCCTGGCCATCCATGACCTTTCCCTCAGCTTCCCATGTTCCCATGGAGTGTGGTGGGCAGGGTGCCCTTCCATGGGTCCAGAGTATTTTAAGTTACAATTGGGAGAAACGCCTGGATTCAGCCACTGGAAGTGCTCCACATCTACCAGCTGCTCAGAGGCACAGGCAGGAGAATCTCAAGTTCAAGGCCAGCCCAGGTAGTTAGGCCCTGCTTAAATTCACAAAATGGTCTACAGATGTAGCTCAGTGGTAGAGCCCTTGCCTAGAATGTGTGGAGCTCTAGGTTCAATCCTCATCAAAAAAAAAAAAAAAAAAAAAAAAACATAAAGAAGGGCCTGAATTTAAATGTGGGCAGCAAGTTTGATTGTAGAGCCAGGCTCCTCCTCTGCTGCTCCCCAAGGGTCTGGGCTCTGCTGGAGAGGGCTCATCCATCTTGCTGCAGGCCTCACTGGGCTCTTTCTCCCTGCTCCTCTCCACCCACAGATCCTTAAGCTCCTGAAGGGCAAAGTGGTGGTGGGGCACGCGCTGCACAATGACTTCCAGGCCCTCAAGTATGTCCATCCCCGGAGCCAGACCCGTGACACCACGTGCGTCCCGAGCCTGCTGGGCCAGCCTGGCCTCCTCACTCGGGCCCGAGTCTCCCTAAAGGACCTGGCCCTGCAGCTATTGCACAAGAGGATCCAGGTAAGTGGGGCAGGAGCAAGGATGAGGCTGTGGGCTGTCCCTTCCACATCCACGTCACCTTGTGTAGCGAATATGCTGGGTAACTGTCACCTTTAGGCTGATCCCTGAGGGGTGTGTGCCCATTCCCTGGGCTTTGCTCTTGTGTCTTGAAGAAGCAGATGTGAGACCCTTGGTCAGGGTTAGGGACACCATGTCTACAGTTAAGAGAAGTAGCCAGGTGGCCTGTGGCCTGTCCCACCACACAGTGATGTTGTCTTTTGTCCGCAGGTGGGCCAGCATGGGCATTCATCAGTAGAAGATGCCGCCACAGCCATGGAGCTCTACCGGCTGGTAGAGGACAAGTGGGAGCAGGAGGTGGCCAGCAGCCTGTGGTCGTGTCCAGAGGACAGGGAGCCTGACAGCAGCACGGACATGGAGCAGTACATGGAGGACCAGTACTGGCCCGAAGACTTGGCCCCTGCTGCTGTGGCCAGATCAGGGGAGGTGCAGGAAGGAAGAGAGTGACAGGAGGGAAGAAGCCTGGGTCAGGGGACCCTGGGAGTACATCCAGGCAGGACAGGGCAGGCAGGATGTCTGGTGCCCAGGGTCAGGGCAGCAGCACTATCTGCGCCCTGTGCCTGCAGCGCAGCCCTCCGCCATTGGCAGTTTGTTTTTCTGACTCCTGTCATCTTACCAGTGGCACTTTATAGCCTCTGGATGGCAGGTGGCAGGAGTCGAAGTCCCAGCTGGCTGTCCCAGGTTTTGCACAGGCATCATGCCGTGCTCCTAGTAGGAGGACACCCCTCACCCAGGTGTCAGTGCTGGAGCTTCTTTACCTTGGTTGGGGAACAGGGTGGAGTTCAGTTCTGGTCACTTAACTCTCCCTCCAGGGTCATATTTGGGCTCATAATAACTGTCCTAAAGTGGAAGAGTTAAGTCCTCATTTCTCCCCTTTGTGCTACAACTCTGGCCACAGCTGCTGTAGGAACCTGGGGCCCTGCGGGGCCTGTCCCCTCCCTGCTAGGCTACATGGACTAACAGAGCCTGCACCTCCCAGGGGAGCTGGCCCCTTCCCAAAGTTGGTGTTAGAAGTCCTTGGGGTCAGTGCAGGGGCAGGCCAGGCAGAGCAGCTCTAACTGGGAACTGACACATTTGTTGTCACCCAAGTCGGGGACCCCCAAGCCCACCCATTGTGGGGCTCCCCTGTGCTGAAGTGGTTTGAGTTCAGTTGTGACCTGGCCGACTTGTACCTGCCCTCTGAGGAGCAGGGCCGCCACTCAGAAGCAGAGTGTGCTCCCAGGGGTGGCAGCTCCTGAGCCCGCACCTCATGTGGTGCTGTGCTGCTTTACTCTGATCTGTGGTTACAGTGAGGTCTGGGTTTTGGATTAAGTTTTGAAAATGCTCCATTTCCTAAGGAGCAGTTTTGGCGTGTCAAAATGACCAAGAGCTTTGGTCACACAGGCCTCAGAGTGCCATCTTTTCTGCCACCTGGCATTGAGACTTAGAGCTGGCTGTGCCATCCCCAGTCTGTTTCCCTAAGTGTAAGTGGCGAGTGGTGCAGCCTCCTGCATAGGGTGGGGAAGAGGCTAATAGCCAGTTGCCCAAACAGTGCCCGGCCCAGGCTTTGTGAACAGGCTGCTGACCTTGTGGTGGGGGACAGGATGGGGGCTGGGCCAGCTCAGGGACACAGCACAGAAGTTTGGGGTTATCTGCAGGCGTGGCCCGTGGCTCTGCAATGCCACTTCTCATCAGTGTCCTGCTACTGCTCACCCCAGGTTGGAGGGTGTGGGACACCAGCTCCTCCCTGTCAGCTGGGTAGGAGGCCAGCTGAGTCATGGCCATAGCTGGCCCAGGACTTCCGACGGGCAGATGCCAAAGTCAGGGCCAAGCAGTAGCTTGGGTTGTGGATTGCAGGGGGATGGCACTGTAACTGTCGCTGTGGGAAAGGTACCGTTGAATATCGCTTTGTTATGAGGTCCCTGGGCAAGCGGGAGCAGTGGCCCTGTGCATGTCTGGTGGTTGGCACGCCCAGCTCTGCTGGGTGATTTGACCTTAGTGGACACATCTTTTAAAGTGGTGGGCATATGACAGAAAACCAACAGCAACCGAATTATATAATTTTTTAAATTTTACAATTGCCCAATTATAAAGCACAAATTTATGTAATTTCTCCCAAAAACTATGTATTTGCTTTAAATTTTTAAAATTGTGATAAAATATACATAATATAAAATTTGCCAGCTCAGCCAATCTGAAGTGTAGCTTTGTGGTGAGTCCTTTTACTTTGTTGTGCAGCAGATTTCCTGAGCGCTTTATTGTGCAAAACCCAAACGTGGTCCCTCTGGCTTGAGTCACCGCGGCATCTGCGTGATTAATACAGTGAAGACTGGGGCCGAGGGAGTCGGTCTTTTCCCTCCATTTAGTTCTAACAGCACCCTATGCTTATTCCTGTGTCCATCGTCCTAAGAGGGATTAAAATAACAAAACACAGGAGATCTCTGATGCCCTAGGTGAGAACACATGTATGTTGGATGGATCTCCTAGGCTGACCTGGTCAGCTTGACCCAACTCTCACCTCATTACCAGTTCAGAAGTACGTACTCTATGGCATGAATGTAATTAGGATCAGAGTGACTTCGGGGCAGCACGCATGTTCAGAGCTCCTCAGAGGACTCAACACCCTGTCGATCACAGTTCCTCTCGGTCAGGATCTGTACCTTAGGGCGAGGCACCCAAGCTGAGGTAGAGTCTTCACACTGCGGAAGCCTGATTTGTCCATGCTTTTTGTTGCTATAGCTGCTTGTGTGTGCTTTGACCCGTGTCAGTGCTTTTCTGTCCCCCTGGCACCTTTTTCTGTCCGGTGGCACGGACTTGCACAGCTTCCTGTGATCTTCAGTAAATGTAGCTACTTGCTACCTATTGCTAGTTGTACACGTGGCGATTTGGTCCTCGTCATCCGTAAGGGTCGGGGCTGCCACTGGCCCATCCTGCCAGTCTCGTCTGGTGGCTTGTGCCATTGTGGTACGAACAGATCTAATCACTTTTTATCAGTCTTTACTAATAAAATGAATAAAAACTCTAAATGGACCCAATTAATTGCTTGAACTTGAATGATTACTAAGAAATATTAGTACTATTTATACCAATTAAAAATTATTACAGCTAATTGATTTCATTAAAAGAAATTTATATTTGTGAATAGTTTATTCATAATTTCAACATGAAATCTTACAAGTACCCCGTTGCTGTTGTATATAATGTGCATTTATAACTTCTGTGCCACAAAGTTACTATAATTTTTTTTTTACCATGTTAATGTTTTCTTTAAAGAACTGTAATAGAATGACATCCAGTCTGCTAATTCAGTGCCTTTTCTTTGTATTCTGGTAATGAAAGACCTGCACAAGCTGCCCACGGCACAGTCGAGCTTGTATCATCTGCGGCTCCCTGAGGCTGAAATCGGGGACTTAAGCCACCCCTGTAACATAAGCATACAGGTTTGCTGACTCCTGTCCTGGGAAAGGAACTTCCAGGATGTGCTAGTGAAAAAAACACATGAGCCAGGCATGGAGGTGCACGCCTGTAAATTGGATCACTGGGGAGGTTGAGGCAAGAGGACTTCAGGACCAGCCTGGGCTACAAAGCGAGCTCACAGCCAGCCTGAACTGCATAGTGAGACCCTGTCTCAAAAAGACAAATTTTAAAAAGCATGAGAAAGATTTATTATAAGTAAGAATAGGATGCACCCGGGCCACACCTTGGGCTGTCTCCACTGCTTTCTGGGCTGGAGGAAGCTGAAGGAAAAAGGGATTTGCAGCAGAAAGGGCTTGCCCAGGTTTGCTGTATGGGGAAAGAATAAACTGAGCATGTGTGTTTTGTTTTGCTTTGCTTCGAGACGGGATCTCATTGCGTAGCCCTGGCTGACCCCAGAGTCACAGTGATCCTGTGCTACCACCTGGCCCTACGCTTACGTTCTGAAGATGTAGGGTTTTTTTTAAAGGACAATTTTAAATTCTCAATTTCCTGATCTTTCTACCTAATTTTGCTTCTACAGTCCTATCTCAGCTGACAGGAATGATCGTATTCAAATCAGCTGCTCAGCAGTAAGATGAATTAAGTCCCTTTGTGGATGCATTAAGCGATAAGTCCCTTCTCCCCATCCTCTGCCAATTTACATTTTGTGTTTCTATGCATCTGAATAGATCACTACTTTTTTTTTTTTTTTTTTTTTTGTGGTACCGGGGATTGAACTCAGGACCTTGTGCTTGCCAGGCAGGCACTTAGGCAGCTGGGCTATCTTCCCAACCCTACCTTTTTTTTTTTTTTTTTTTTTTTTTATAGGATCTAAATTGTCCTGCCTGGGCTTGAATTTGTAATCTTTCTCCCAAGTGCTGATATTACAGGCATGTACCATCACCATGCCTGGCATTGACTAGATACATCGTATAAGTGGACTCACAGTTCTCTTGTGGCTGGTTTATTTCACCAAGCACATTGTCCCCAAAGCCTGTGCGTGTTGCAGCTCGGATCATTTTCCTCCAAGTGCATGGTCCTTGGTGGTGAGATGTGTGGGTTCATCTGCCTGCCACTGGGCAACACGAGGTCCTGTCCCAACTTGAAAGCTGTGAATAATGTTACTATGAATATGGTGCATGCAGGTCCACTCTTAAGATCTTGCTTTCCACTCTGTAGTATGTAATTGGCGGGATAGACACACATTTCAGGGGGACAAGTCCAGCCACAGCTAGGGATGACTGAGCTGGAAGGGGCATGTTGCCTCCAGGGAAGGGGAACCGCTGACCCTCCGTTAGATGTGTCTTGCTCTATTCTGTGTTACTATGACAAAATGCACAAGACTGGGTGCTGTAGGAAGGAGAGGACCTTATTTAGCTCACAGGTATAGAGATTCAAGGATGGCATTGGCCTGTGTTTGCTGAGGGGAGGAGTGTGACAAGTGACATCACAGTGGTAGGTGCATGTGGAACAAGAGATCGCCTGGTGGACAGGAAGCAAAGAGGGGGAGCCAAGAGCCAGATCTGTTGTTTTTTTTTTTTTTTTTCAAGCAGAAGACGGCATACGAGATGTTGCGGCGTGACTGGAGTTCAGACGTGTGCTCTTCCGATCTGTTGTTTTTTTTTTTTTTTTTAATGTATTCACTGCAGGGTCTTATTACACAGATTGGACTCGTAGTGATCCTCCTGTTTTCAGCCTCCCAGGCACTGGGTTTACAGGCGCATGTCCATGCCCAGTCTCAGACACCATCTTAGCACGGTCAAATCTGCTTCATGACAACTCATTCTTGGCATTACCATTGAGTCCTGAAAGACCCAAGGTCTCAGGCATTAGCCTGTTCATGATTACCTCCCACTAGGCCATCTTAGTGCCACCATGCCGTGGACCAGGCTGCCTACAAGTGATCCTATGGGGACTCAAGCCACAGCAGGCGTCCTTTGCTTGGCAGGTACCAGGGGTCCTCCCGGTGGGGATTGCGGAAGACCACATGGGGGCGCTCTTCCGGCTGCAGTAAGTATAGGTAGCTCCTCCAACTTAGCTTGCTTAAAACTGCTCATGGAAAGCAGACTGCTCTATAAGAATCGAGTCAAACATAAACTGTGTATGGATGAGTGTGTAAAAGATGCTTGGCAGCACCGATCATTAGGGAGGTGTGAATCAGGCTCTAATGGGATGCGCTGGTAAAGCCATTCGTTCCCCTGAGGGACTCCCACCGGCCTCACCTGAGCCAAGGTTCATGGGTGGGGTCTGGACATAGGCTCCCTCCCATTTCCAGCCAAGCTGAGAAAACCAGGAAAGCCCCTGGCTGATATCTGGCTTCCTTCTTCGGTGCTGTTGGTCTCCTGCGCTGGGGATCAACGTTGGGGCGCAGGGTACCTTTGAACAAAAGCCGGTGTGGCCCAGGAAGGGTTCAGTTGCTGGGGTCCCAGCAGTGAGCCTCAAAGGGAAAGGGAGGGGGGTAAACTAGTAAGTTGTCCAGTATTTCCCACACCACCCACAGCCATAGAAAAGGCCCAGGAACAGGATAAGAGGTTCACTTTTATAAGGAGAGGCCTGTGGGGCAGAGAGCAAGGCACGGAGAGGACCTGGAGAGCAGGGTTCCGGAACCAGCTCAGCAGATGCCCAGACCTGCAACAGGGTGCTGACCTCCCTGCCGCTGGCCGGGCCTCACTGGTCTTTCTGGCCCTTGGGCCCAATATTGGAACAATGACGGGATCAGAATGAGACAGGCAGGACCTGCTGATAGCTTGGGAAGGTCACTAGATGTACAACCTGAGGCCCTATGCGCAGGTTTAAACGTAAAAGAGGGCCCATAAATAGAAACTTTTTTTTTAAATCTTTTTAATTTTTTTGCAGAACCAGGGATTGAACTCAGGCCCTTGCGCTTGCCAGGGAAGTCCTTATTCCACTGAGCCATCTCCCCAGACCCTTTTTAATCTTTGAGACAGGGTTTCACTTTGTAGTTCAGGCCGGCCTTGAACTTACTTTGTAGCCCAGGCTGGCCTCGCACTCACAGCAATCCTCCTGCCTTAGCCTCCCAAGTGCTGGGATTACAGCTATGTATCACCATGCCCTGGGAACAAATAGAAACATGGGACAGACAGATGAGCCAGAAACTGGCCAGGAGTTGATAGGTGAGGTTTTGTAACCATGAAATAGGCTGCTACAGTGCAGGCTCTTGTATGATGAGCAAAGAACTGCAGGTATACAATCCAAGGGGCAAGTGCAAAGAGTTCCATTGACTGAAGATCACAGGAAGTGTTCAGGGCAAGTCTGCCAAGAGAAGATGCAGCACACGCCGAACAAGGTGTCGGGCAACCAAAGGCACAGCGCGAGGCAGCAGCATATAGGTCAAACCAGGGTTTCAGAATTTAAGGGACAGGACCCTCTGCTTTGGTGCCTCCCCCAGAAACTCTAGGTGTGACTGATGAAGTGCTTGAGGGGTGCTGGTATCTCAAGGGCTCTCAGCACATGCTTCTCCCAGAATTCCCTGTGAGCCTAATTACTCTATGACATGCAGTGCATGCTTATGGGGTCTTGGGTTGGAGGAGGGTGAACATGATTGAAGGGCAGGTTATGGCCTGACAGTGATGGTGAACCCGTTAGAGGCACGGGCCTGAATTGCCACCCCAAGCCCACTATTTATGACAAAGTACCAACATGTAATTAAACCTGAATACTGAGGTTTGGGGTTAGAAAAAACAACTCATACGTTAACATCTTTTGTCTTACAAGAAAAGTAACATTCGTGCCATGGACTCACCACCACTGGTAGGAGACCTAATGCTCATGTGCTCTTGCCTACAGCATGGACGGTCTCCGAGCTTCTGTTATTTTATTTTTTACCTCTCTTAGGATAATGGAAGACAGAGTGACCCTAGAGTTAAGCTTGTATCTCAAAGGACCCCCAAAACTCCATGTGGTCATAGGTGGGCAGCTTTGAAGATGGCTGGGTGAGGGTGTATGGATGTGGGTTAAGTGTGTGGCCCTGGGATCAAAGGTGTGGATAATAAGCCCCACCCTGGGTGTGGGTGGCACCAGTCAATAGGCTTACAGCCTGGATGGAATATAAAGGGACAGAAAGAAGGCTGACCTGGGCCAATGAGATAGCTCAGCAGACTAAAGTGCCTGCGTAGGCAAACCCAGGGACCTCAGTTTGATCCCTGGCACCACATGATGCACCAGCCCCACCCCCAGGGCTGTCTCAGCTGGCCACAGAGTCCAGGCATAGTGGTGCATACCTATTATCCCAGCGCTGGGGAGGCTGAAAGCAGGAGGATCAATATGAGTCTGAGCTGCATAGTGAAACTCTACAACAACCAAATACATTTTAAAAAGGGCAGGCCTGCAGCTACTCATTTCTTTCTTTCTTTCTTTCTTTCTTTCTTTCTTTCTTTCTTTCTTTCTTTTTTTTTTTTTTGGCAGAACCGGGGATTGAACTCAGGCCCTTGTGCTTGCCAGTGAAGCACTTATTCCACTGAGCCATCTCCCCAGCCCCAACTACTCATTTCTTTGGCTGCATGTTGCCTTGGTGTGCAAGGCCACACCATAGAACGTCTCATCTGTGATGCACCGCTGCCATGCCGTCCTACTTTGGAACCAACTGACTCTGAAATCTCTGAGCTCAAATCAATCTTTAACACTGGGTTTTGTGGTTAACTAAAGGTGAACTTGTAGCACCTAGCTGAACTGAATCAGCATGGTTCTGGGTGTGGAAGGCCTGTCTGGATGGATTTGGCAAAGATTGTTGCCAATAGCATAAAAGGAAAACGGGAGGAGAAGATGGTGCACTGTTGATTCTCCTGGAGAAGCTTGTCGAGCTGGTTTTCCTGCCCTCAGCTGTGCTCATAGTCAGAGGTGCTCAGGTCCTCACTGTTGCTGAGGACGGCAGTGGTTCTTTTTGGGGGCACTCTGGTCCTCACTTTGAGCCTGGCTTCCTGGCTGCAGTGCAGGTCTCCTGGCACAGATCCTTCACCGCCCTGGCCTAGACTTTCTAGTTTCCACCGCTGGGCCTTCCGAGGGCAGATCCCTCATACAGACGTGCACGACACATTGCCACATGCTCTAGACCTCCGGCTGGACTCATGGAGGACCTTGTTGTGGCTCTAGGTCTTCAGCTGGACTCGTGCAGGACATTGCCGTGGGATCCAGACCCTCAGCCGGATCCTTCGGGTCTTTAGTGTGTGGACAGATGGCTTGCACGCTAATGCATTTGACACTGGGTGAATATTATAAAATAATCCTGTAAATTATGTGTCCTATATGAAATCCATTCCCTCGTAAGCCCTGACTATAGCAGCTATTTATTTCATCTCAGCAATCAGTGAAATAACTTAAGACAGTGGTGTTTTAAATTTAAATAGGTGAAAAAAAATAAATTTAAATAGGTGAAAGAAAGCGACTTCCTCAGCACCATTTCTAACTGTACTTATTTTGAATGTTCTTTCTTCCTTTCTTTCTCTTCTCTTTCTTTTTGTGTCTGTCTGTCTGTCTCTGTCTTTCTCTCTCTCTCTCTCTTTTTCCCATCCCCCATGACCCAGGAAATCACTAAGTTCTTATGCTGAGGAGAGTTGTGACAAATGGTACAGGAGGCTAAATAGAATTTGTACAATTTAAATCTTGGAAGATTAAGGCAGGGAGACCCGCAGGTGGATGCAGCAGGCAGGAGAGTTGGAGCAGGGAGGAGGAGCAAAGGCCAGGCCTAGAGGGAGGACCTCAAGATGAGGTGCAAGCACATGGGCCAGATACAGGCTGTGGGAGGAAGAGCTCTGCTGGTTCTGGGAGACTCGGGCTTGCCATGCAGTGCTTGGTTCCCCCGTGGGAAATGCAGACAAAAACTTCCAAGCTGATCTTTAGAGGGTAACTTTTTTTTTTTTTTTTTTTTTTCCTTTTTTTTTTTCCAAAACTGGGGATTGAACTGAGGTCCTCGTGCTTGCCAGGGAAGCACTTGTTCCATTGAGCCATCTCCCAGGCCCCAAAGAGGGGTACTTTTAAAATGCATTTAAAAGTAGTATGATTTCATCATCACCTGTTTATGCCGCTGCTTCTCCTCCTAAATCATTGTAGGACACTTGGCCGAGAGATCGCTCTAAATCACTATTGTTAGAGGGGAGAAGAAGCGGAGGTCGGAGCTCAACTGGACGGGCTGGTTCAGAACAAACTTGAGAGGGATGCTCTGGCAGGAGAGACCGGACCGGCTGCTCTGGTACAGGCTGTGGGGTCTTGGGTAGGGTCACGGGAATGGAGGAGCTCCGTGAAAGGGGGCTGTGGCCTGCTGCCAAGAACAAGGCTTGAGACACCAGAGGCTCGTGTTCACCGCGGGGCTGGAACCGTGAGGCCCCAGGTGCAGCCGCGCCGGGAGGGGGCGGTATAGAGGGGCCTGACCCGGAAGCCAGCGGTCGCATTCCTTGCACTGTAACCCGGGCTACGCAGTCTGATGCAGGCAAAAGTCACTGATTCAGGACGGGAGCAAGAGTTCTTTTGTACCCCAGATATGAACCAGCCACACAGCGGGGAGGAAAGAAGCCTTATACCAAGACATGGTCCAACACTTGGTTTTATTTGGGGGAGTGGAGTGTTAAAGTCAGACTTCTGCTTGGTGAAAGCACTGAAGATCTGGGGAAGTTCCTTTTCCCGCCACAAATCTTTTTTTTTTTTTTTTTTAAGTGAATTTGGTACAGGGTCTCACTAATAGCTCTGACTCGTAGTGATCCTCCTGTTTTCAGCCTCCCCAGCGCTGGGATTAGAGGTGTGTACCACCACGCCTGGTCTCCTGGCCCAACTCAGCTCTCCCAGGGGCAGGGCTGTGTTGGCCTGTGGTGCCAGGGGTCGAACCCCAGTCCCTGTGCTTGCCCAAGCAGGCACCTAGTCCATTTAGCTATCTTGCTGGCCCCCCCAGCAACAAATCTTAGTGGTAGTGGGGAGCAACCAGTGCAAGGATCCTTGCCATTTCCGTGGGCCAGGGTAGGAGGGAGGCAAGAGGGGGGACCCCCTCACCACCACAGCATACAGAGCAGAGGGATCCCACTTATGAACCGAGTGGAGCTCACACATTCTTTCCTTCACTGAGTCCTGGATGTTGTTGCCCTTCCAGTTGCTCTTCTAAGAACTCAAGAATTCTGGCCCCAGACAGGGTCACCTTTCTTGGCAGGACTGTAGGGGGCCCCCAAGACCTGCTTCTGTCTCCATGTCCCTCTCAGAGGCCCCTGAGATCAGACAGAAATCTGTTTCCAGGTGTCCCTGAGCCATGGAGGCCTGAGTGCCTCCTTACCTGCCCTGGATTTGACCGGTGTGGGTGGATAGAGTGGGGGGCTCCCAACCCCAATCTCCTGCCCTTCCCAATTAGTAGGCTCAGTGTCCCAAGAGCCACTCACCCTTCCCCATAAAAGACCTCACAGACTGGAAGCCCCAGGATCAGGGGACATTCCCTGGGCTCCAATCCTGGGGGTTGTTTGTTTTCTGGGCAGAGGGTAAGAAAGCTAAAATGTTGCAATCCACTCCAACTACGTAAGACGCTCATCTGAGAGGGGAGGCGGGGCAGAGGAGGGACACCTGGACTTGGCCGCCTAGCTCAGCCTCCCAGCTTCCTACCTGCTGCAGGCGGGGCAGAGGGAGTGGCCCAGCCCACTGCCGGCCTCCCACCCCTTATTTCCCCTGAAGCGAATTGGAAACCGGAACGGGATCAGGATGCCTGACCGCTGTTGAGAGATGAGTCAAGGCTCAGAGCGCCTGTAGTGGCTGAGAAGTGGCAGCAGAGAGGCAGACTTCAGCGAGGGTGCAGAGGCGGCAGGTGAGCGTGGAGGGGCCCTCCTGGTATTTAGTCTGCAGGGCAGAACCCATAGCTGGGAATTTTAGTGGGGTGGCAAGAGGCCAGCTTCCCCTGTTGCCAGGTGACACTGGAGACAAAGTGCAGGGTGGGGAGGGTGCAGACCACCGGAGGCTGGTGTGTCACTCCCCCAACACATCTGTGGGCCCCTCCTGCAGCACTTCTGAGGGTCCCCGCGGAGCATGGCGGGCAGCCTGGAGGCCGTGGCCATGGACTGCGAGATGGTGGGGCTAGGGCCACTCCAGGAGAGCGGCCTGGCCCGCTGCAGCCTCGTGAGTCCCTCGGGCTTGGTGCTGTACGACAAGTTCATCCGGCCTGAGGGGGTGATCACTGATTACAGGACCCGCGTCAGTGGGGTCACACGTCTGGACATGCAAACAGCCACACCTTTCGCTGAAGCCAGACTAGAGGTGAGTCGGGCCAGGGGTCAGCAAGGCAAGAGAGGAAGCAACACCCCCTCCCTCACCCCAGCTCCTTCCCTAGGATCTGCGGCCCCACAGGGGAAAAGTCCACACCCTGCTGCAAGGGGAGCCCCGAGGTTTCTCGGTAGAGAAACCAAGATTCAGGTCTTGTTTCTGGTCTTGGGGGAAACTGAGTCCCGCCTGACAGCTTCCCATACAATGATAGAGGCTACCTTCCCTCCTCTTCCCCCACACTGGCCCTCCAGGTAGCCTGTGGTAAGCAGCTCACGGGAGCCCCCTTGAGTGAAAGACTGAGAGGGATCTGGCCCCTGACCTAAGGCACCCTGCCTATGCCTGCGCAGTGTGAAACCCAGGTTCCCAGAGCCAGGATTCCCCATCCCCTTGCTGCTTACCTTTGGTGATAGCTTTAGGTTTCTGTTTCAGAGAAACAGAAAGGGAAAAGCAGAGCTCAAGCCACCTAGAGGTTTCCCCTGATTAGTCACCTCTGGCAAGGCTCACTGGTCGGGGGAGCTCAGTGTTCTCCGAGGGGCTGGGAAAGTCCAGGGATACAGGACACAAGGTTTCCCTCACTGGCACATGCCCGCCACACGCCAGAGAGAAAACGGTCGCAGTGGCTCCCGGGGACTGGAAGTATTAGAAAGAAAATTGCATCTATCTGTACTGAAAATACAGGTGCTTTTCTTCTTGTTATTCCCTGAACAATAGCCTGACAGCTATTCATATAACCATTTTCATGTTGTCATCAGATGCAGTAAGTTATTAGTGATGATCCAAAGGGTGACCAGGATGTGTGCAGATTCTGTCTGTCTTATGGAAGGGACTCGGGCATCTGGGGGCTTGGGGACCCTGGAATCCGTCTGTTGGTGCTGCGCACTGATACCTGTCTGTCATGCGCCTAAATAAGCCATATTTGGAGGTAACAGGGTTAGGACTTCAGCATGCACACTGGGGAGGAGGAGAAAGGGCAGCTCATTGCACTGAGAAGCTCACAGGACCAGGAGGCAAACCTGAAAACCCAGCTCCAGTCCTGCTCATCCGAGCTGAGATGGGCTAGGAACCACACGATGCCTGACTACTTCTTTAATATTGACTATATATTAAAGTGATCATATTTGTGACAAGTTGGTTAAAGGAAACACTAAAATTAATTTCACCTGTCCCTTTTTACCTTTTAAAAATGTATTTAGGCTTTTGCTGTGTACCCCAGGTTAGCCTTGAACTCAGGATCCTCTGCCTCCCCCTCCCCAGTGCAAGGTACCGACATGTGCTCCACGTTCAGCTGCTTTTTACCTTTTTCGCTGTAGCTATTAAGTGATTTAAAATTACATCTGTGCCATGTTCTGTTTCTATTGGATGGCACTGTTCTAGGAATATCAACGGGATAATAGCAGAGCAGAGGGGAGGGGCACAGCATCTCTGTGGTTCTGGAAAGACACGTATGGCCAGTAGCATTTGACAAGAGCAAGAAAGAGGATGTGTGTCATTTGGTGAGCCGTAGAGAGCCACTGACATCCTCATCCTTCCTCCTTGTCCCCAGCTTCTCCCACATCAAAGTGGCACAGGTGAAGAAGAGCCCAGAGAGCCTAGGACAGGCTCTCACATTTCCTGGCCTGGACAGAGAGGGCTGGAAGCCCCAAATCCCTGACATCCTGGGCCCTTGGGTCCAGGGCGCCTTGCTCCCTGTCATTCCCCAGTTAGGAGCTGCGCTGAGCCTCAGGTCACAGGTGCCTGACGCAAAGCCCTGCCCGGGTGGTCACTTGTGGCCATCAGCAACTCTCCAGAGCCAGTGGCGCAGGCTGCACAGGGCCTGCTCTGTGTCACAGCCGGGTTTGTGGGGCCTGGGGCAAGTGACAGAGCTTCTCCCTCCTGCATGGCCTCAGGCTGGGACAGTGCTGCTCCTGAGGGCGCCACCCCCTGCCCCCTGGCTCCTGCTTGCTGCCCGCTGCCCACTCTGCTGCCTGAGTACATGCCCGCCAGCTCAGGCCCAGCCACAATTGGTCACATGTGTGTCATGATCAACAAATGCGGTGAGTGTTCAAATAAAAAAAAAGAACTTATTACAGTGAGGGACACATCGCCAGGAATCCTCCTCACTTTCAACACACAGAGCCCCTCATCGTCACCTGTCTGATGCAGTTCCAGAGGTCCTCTTCCGCGAGTGTCTTTAGTTGTGCTCTTGTGGCTGCCTTGATGTCCTGAATCCACTCGAAACATTTGTCTTCGTGGCCATTTGGAGTTTGGGGAAGGGACCAAAGTCACACTGTGTGGGTGAGTGAGGTGGATCAGGATGCAGCGACAGGTGCCGCCCTGCCTGTCGTTGGGCTCTCGATGGCAGCAGGCACTGCCTATTGATCACACCTCGTAAAGACACTCAGGAAAGAGGACGCCAGAGCTGCTCAGGCAGGGCAAGAACGGTGGGATGAGTGCGTGTCAAGCGAGGGTGAACATTTTGAGGTGGACTCACAGAAATCTGTACTTTAATACTTTTTTTGGTACCGGGCATGGAACTCATATCCTTGTGCTTGCCAGGCAGGCGCTGTGCTGCTGAGCTATATTCCTGGAACACCCCCGCTTTTATTTTTCTTTTATGCAGACTATGTAGTTCAGGGTCTGCCCTTGAACTCATGGCAGTCCTCCTGCCTCAGCCTCCCAGGTGCTGGGATTATAGGCATGCTCCATCACACCTGGCTTATAAAACATTTTTAATGGAAATATTCACCATATACTTGACCACCCTGTTCCTTTCTGCCTCAGTTGCCCGAGCCCAGGGCTCTGTCCCCTATGCACCTGCCTGTCCTGAGCTCCACACCACTCAGCCCTGGTGCCAGCCTCAGCCCTGGCTGCCCACCCTCCAGCCCTGCTCCTATCATCCCCATGTGAAAGGAGCCTGGTTGGGGCTGTTCCCTCTCAGTCCCTGTCCCTCCTGATCCCCAACAGGAATCTCTCACCACTTCCTTCTGCCCACAAACTTGGAAGCTCACCTGCCCTCCCTCCCCCCACTTCCCATCTCCCACAGCTTCCTGTTTCTGCAGGAGGCCGGGCACTGGGCATGGCACTCGGAAAGGGGAGTGGTGTGTGGAGTGGAAGTCCAGCTGCTTCCTGTAAGTGCAGAAGGGTACTGGCCGCTGAGGGCAGCGAAGCCACCTCTGCCTTCCCACTGGCTCTTGCTGGTCCCCTTTGTCCAGCTGTTGCCACACACATGCAGCCCTGGGGCATGGCACACTCCCACTGATTGGACCTGAGCCCTGATCCAGCACTGCCTCTCGATTCTCTGAGTCCTCTGGCCCATGCCTGCCCCTCTGTGCAACAGGAGGGTGACACAGCTTTGCAGGTATTTTTATTCTGCCATGCCCTTGCTCAAGAACCTTCCAGAACATCCAGAGAGGGGCAATGACTTCCCTAAGGACACTCTGGAAGCTGTGATACAAGTCAGGGCTCAGATTCAGGGCTCCGACCTGAGAGTCATGTTGGATAGCTTGTAACCTGCACTTCTGAGTTAAGATTCCTTATGTCAACCTGGCACCTAGCCCACAAAGCCCATGATTTGGAGGAGTACGTGTAGAGAGGCCATGGGAGCTTGTGACTGGGAGTGGCTTTTGCATGGGTCAGAGTGTCCCGCTGGGGCTCCGCCACCTGGCAGATCTCTCAGAAACTTGGCCAGATGCAGGAGGAATTCACCGTCTAGATAACCAACCCTAGGGCAGATGGCACGAACAGGCAGCCAGAGTACGTGGCAAGGAAAGAGGTTAGGGGTGCCACTCCACTCCTGAGGACGACAGTAGGGTCGGGTCCTCTGCACCCCTCCACCAGGTGGTCAGATAAGAGATGAGCGCCTCTTTCTGCGTCATCTCTGTCCTCTCGCGGTGCTAATAATAACTTCCTTCTGATGGGTCAGATGGAGCCCGGCCACGCCTTGCTGCTTGCAGCTCGCCAGCTGTGTGACCTGGGCGAGCCTGACCTCTCTGATTTTGCCCCTCCTTAGAAGAGGAACTAAGAATAGTGTGGGGGAGGAGCTTCCCACTGAGGCAAGCCAAGCACCTGGCCCAGTGCCAGCTGATACGGGAGGAGTGCTGAATGCCTGCTGTGGTTCTTTCCAGGAATTTGAGCGTCTCCACTCCCTGTGTTTAGTGAAGTCTAATGGCATGCCAAGCTCGTGACAGGTCCCCAGGCTGCCTGCTGCTGGCACCTCCCCAGCCCGGCATCAGAAATTTGGAGGAGCCCTGGTGCTGATGGGCCACTCAGATCCCACCAGGGCAAGCCTACATCTTACAAATGTGAACATGGAGGTCCAGAGAGGGTCCTCGACACCCTGAGACCACACAGCAAGTCCAATGGTCTTTCTTGTCCAGACCTGCAGAGTCATTAGCATCTCTCTGCTGCAGAGGTTCTCTTCTTTCTCCTGCTTCCGCTTGCTTCTTCTGCCTCCTGTTCTGTCTCATCCTGAGTCCTATGATGCCCAAGGCAGCCCCACCCCACCCCCACCCCACCAAGTCCCAGGCTCAGGAAATGATGAATTTCCCAGGAATCCATAGCTCAGTGACCTGGCTCTCTCATGTCTGAGACCAGCAGTGGCTGTCTCTGGGAAGGCGGGCAAGTTCTTTAGTACTTTGTGTGAACTGGGCCTGAGCCAAGCTCTTAGATGGGAAAAACGGGTCACATTGTTCAGAAACACGAAGGATGTTAGCAAGAACAGGCGCATGACACAGTCGCATCTCCACAGTTCTCCCACCGAGAACCCCCCTTCCTCCACGTGGGTCCTGCTGAGCTGCTCTGTAGAAGTTGTGTCCCTCCAGACCAGCTGGATCCCCTTGTCTGTTAGGAACACATAATTGTGACCTTGGCATGGTGGCCCAGGTCTGTAAGCCCAGCACCTGCGGAGGCTGAGGCAGGAGGATCAAAAGTTCAAGACCGCCCTGGGCAACTTGGCAAGACCTTGTCTCAAAATAAAAATAGGATAGGGGGCCTGCCCATTAGCTCAGTTGTTTAAGTGCCTGCTTAAGCAAAGGCAGTTAGGCTCTGGATATTGTGGTTCAATCCCCAGATCCTCATGCCTTTCCAGACCTGCCCTTAAGGCATCCTGAGGCAGCCAAAAACAAAAAAAAAATCCTTCTAGGATATTGAGGATGTGAGTTAGTGACAGAGCACTTACCTAGCATATGCAGGCTCCTGGCTTCAATCTTCAGTGCCAAGGCAGAGAGAGAGAGAGAGAGAGAGAGAGAGACAGACAGACAGACAGACAGACAGACAGACAGACAGAGACAGAGAGACAGTATGGCAGCCAAGTTAAACAACACTGATTGGGGTGTCACTAGAGGACGAGGCAGGCAGAGGGGAGCTGGAGCACACAGGGGGTGCGCTAGACCTGTCCCCTACAACCTGGCTCTTGTGACAGTAACAAGCAGGTGCTCAGAGTCCTGACCCTGCCATCACCCGAAGTTAGTGGTTCCATAATGTCCTTATTGATCCGTGTGAGTGCACACCTGTAGGGATGCGTGGTGGGGACAGAGCGTCGGCTGAGGCCTTCCGGAGGCGGGGACCACAGAAGAAGGTTCCTTCTCCCACCCGCCTGTGATGGGTGCTAGGGTGCCTTGGATTTATCTCTATCCCTGAGTGGCCTCTCCCCATGGCCTCTACTGCCTGCTGGCTTTGGAGTGACAGAGCTTCCCTGTCAGTGCAAGGGTCCTAGAATTCCAACCCTTGAGAGAAATCAGGAGTTACGCAAGCTCCCCCAGGTGCCTGGGGAAGAAATTAGATTCCACCTTTTTTTTTTTTTTTTAAACATAGGAAGGAATTTGCAAACCTTTTTAACAAATATTTTATTTATTTATGTATTTATTTGGTACAGGATCTCACTACATAGCTCATACTCGTAGTGATCCTCCTGTCTCAGCCTCCCCAGTACTGGGATTACAGGTGTGCACCACCACACCTGGTTTCAGTGACCGTCATGGTGGCTGGGCCCTGCATGGCATGCCGTATTGGTAATTGAACCCGGATCTTTGCATTTGCCAGGCAGGTGCTTAGATCACCAAGCTATCTCCCCAGCCCGCAAACTTACTTTATTTTATTTTATTCCCCCCCTTTTTTTTTCAAACTTAATTTAAAAACCAGCAGAGGAATTTTAGGCAAATCACCACGTGTCTACTTTTCTTCTGTAAAGTTCCATTCAGCGCTCCTCCTCACTGAGTTAGTTTGCTATAAGCTTAAGCGTTTAAGATGACACACATTTATGATCTTACAGTTTTGTAGGTCCCAAGTCCAACATGGTCTCTTGCTGGGCCTACAAGGCGCCTGCAGGGCTGTTTCCTCTGGAGGCCTGGGTAAAGGCCTTCTGCTTGACCTTCAACTTCTAGAAGCTTCTTGGGCACCTTGACCCTCTGGGCCCCTTCCTCCAACTTCCAAGCCAGCCACAGCTCATGAGTTCTTCTCACACTGACTTGCTCTGACCTTTGATTTTGTGAGGCCACCCAGGAAGTCCAGGGTGTTTCCCTCTGTGTGGCCACCTTTGCCATGGAGCAGGGCTGGAGGTTCCGGAGACTGTGTGAGGCTTTGGGAGGTCATTATCCTCTTGCTGTCACTCACTGTGAGAGGCCCAAGGGGCTCGGTCAGCAGCATGTTCCCATGTGGGCCACCAGGGCCGGCCCACACCGATAAGAACTCTCACACCTGAGGAGGGACCTGATCCATCTCCTGTTGTCAGAGATAATGCATTTGAAGGCCAGAGAGGGTGATGATTCACCTGGGTCACAGGTCCCCCCATGAGCTGAGGGGAGGCCTCTCTCAGCCAGCCCTGCTCCCCCCAACCCCGCCACTCTGGGACGCTAGGTGGACATGTGCAGGGTGCGTGTCTTCCTGGCAGATCCTGCAGCTCCTGAAAGGCAAGTTGGTAGTGGGTCACGACCTGAAGCATGACTTCAAGGCCCTGAAGGAGGACATGAGTGGCTACGCCATTCATGACACGTCTACCGACTGGGTGCTGTGGCGTGAGGCCAAGCTGGAGCACTGCAAGCGGGTGTCCCTGCGGGTGCTGTGTGAGCGGCTCCTGCACAGGCACATCCAGGTGGGTGAGGGCTGCCCCCTCCTCCTCCCTGCCTCCCCCCTGCCCTGCCCAAGGTGGGCACCAGGACGGGCAGCCAGCCTGCCTGAGGCCGCTCCTGGGCCTGCCTAGACCTCCAGGACTCTGAACGGGTCCCATAGCTCAGGGACAAAGCCTCTGCTCCTTCTCCCTTGGGGAGCTGTGTGGTTGTGAGGAACGGGGAGGGGGCGATGTGTGTGTCTCAGTTTGGGCTTCCCAGAGACAAGGATGGGCTTTGCAAGGTGACTCCAGGCGCCACTGGTAGAGTGAGGGTGGGGGGAGTGGAGCACCCAGTACAAGTTTACTCTTGCGCTTAAATCAAGCCAGTTAGCCTGTGGATAACGAAGCTGCTCACACCACAGAACCACAGTTGTGGTGGCACACCTGGAATTCTAGCCCTCTAGGAGGCTGAGGCAGGACCATTGCAAGTTCTTACCCAGCCTGGGTAACTTAGTGATTTAACAAGACCCTGGCTCAAAAGAAAAAAATACAAAAGGGCTGAGGATGCAGCTTAGTGCAGAGGCCCTGGGTTCCAGCCCCAGTACTGTAGGGAGGGTGTGAACCTGGGAAGTGTCGCAGCTGTGCACCACAGGAGGGACCTAGGGGACCGGACACTCACACAACTCTGATCACTGGTAGACACTTGATTCCTCTGCATACCTGACCAGATGTGGGGTGGGATCAGCCTGGTCAGTGAGCACTGTCATGCCAGGTGCTGGGCATTAGAGAAAGTGAGGTGTCATGGAGCATGGGTCACACAGGATGGCAGGAAGGCCCACTGTGAGGGTGACCATGGGGATGTAGGCCACTCAGCGCAGTAGCAATTCCACCTCCACTCTTTACCTGTGCATGAACCTCAGTTCCAACGTGAAGTGGGGGAACCCTCCAATCTAGCCAAGGCTGAGGAGATCATGTGGGCCTGGTGCTAGCACAGAGAGAGGTGGCACATGGTGGTCACCTGTCCCTCCAAGGGATCCAAGGGCCGTTGGCCTCCACCCCATAAAGTGTGGACTCCCCTTTGAGGCATTCAGGGATGAGGGGCCACAGATCACCTCCCCCACCACTATCTACCCAAAGCTCTGATTTTAGCAGCACCCGGGCTTGCACCCCAGGGGTACCTGGTACTTGGGGTGTCTCTTTCCATCCTCCATGGCAAGTTCTGTCATGCCCTGGTCTCCGTGTCCTTTCTGAGCAGCCCTTCCCATAGCCCTTACTGGAGACCCTTGCTCCATCCTGGTGGCCCAAGCGCCACCACAGAGCAGCTGCTGTGTGCCTGGCTGCAGCCCTGTCCCCCACCAGAGGGGTGCACTAGCTGTTGTGCCTCACGTACCTGGGCCTGGCACCCTTGATCCCGAACTCCACTGGGCCGCACTCTTCCAAACCCACGAGCCAGAGGCCAGGGGAGACTTGCCAACTGGGAAATGGGGTGAGTAGCCCCTGGGCCTCTGGATTCGACCAGCTCCCAGCCCCACCCTGTATCTGTCTGTTGGTCTGCAGAATGGGTTTGGACACAGCTCTGTGGAAGATGCGAAGGCCACCATGGAGCTCTATCAGCTCTCACAGCGGATCCGAACACGCCAGGGGCTGCCTCACCTGGCAGGGTCACACTGAACTGGCCCAGCCCTGTCCCAGGGACCAGAGGGTCCCTCCACCACAGCAGCATCTCTCTTAAGAGCTTTTTCAAGACATGTGCTTTGTAATAAAATGGTTCTCTATTTTGTCTACTCCAGTGTACCCAGTCTTTGTCTTCCTTTCTCCCCTCTGAGCTGGATACTCATGATAGGACCCAGGCTGTGTGCCCAGGGGTTGGCAGCGGGTGGAGGTCGACACCCTCCTGGTACCCTCTCCACTGGGGAGCCAAAGTGTTCAGGAAGCCACTGGACCCCTGGATCCCCCTGCCCTGCTTTTCCTGTGGCACTTTTGGGCATTACTTCCTGGGATGGCACACTGCTCTGAGCTCCATCTCATCACCAGGTCAGTGCCTTGAAAGCAAAGGTACCACACACACACTGTATGGAAAATGAGGACACAAAGAGAGTGAACTTTGCAGTCAGGGAAGACCAGGTCAGAACCCTAGCTTTGCTATTTAGTAGCTGTGTGACATAGCCCAAGTTGTCTAACCTTTCTGTGGCTTAACCTTAACCCACGCCTCAGTTTCTCTATCTGTAAAACAGAAAATAGCAGTTCACTGCATATTCGAGAGGTGTTGCAGGCAAAACCCCCAGCACCAGTCCTGTCTTGGCTTAAGCAGCCACCAAATGGCAGGAACCTTTGCTACTTCCTGGACCGCCTGCAGATCCGGGGGCCATCAGGGCAGCAGCTACACTGTGCCCTGCGGGCCCAGCTGGAAACAAGGTGCGGCCTCATTAGAATGAACAGTAGGAGTTTGGGGTGGTGGTGGTGCTACTGGGGATTGAATCCAGGGCATTGACCTAGGTGTCTTCGTTTTTTGCCTCCATAGTGATCCTGACCCCTGGCCACTTGAGCCTGAGGTGCTTGCTAAGCCATCCTGGAACCTGATCACAGCACCTGTGGGTAAGCGTGGTCAGCGTCTCCCGAGGATGCTGGCCCCACCCCCAGAGCTGGCCACCGTGAGAATGGACCTTTCCAGCATACTCTCCACAGACGGTGATGCTGGCTTGGAGAAGCTCTGCCTGCAACATGCAGTCGCAGCTGTCCAGCCTGTCCAGCCTCTGCCCTGGGCAGCTCTCCTGCAGAGGGAGGCTCGCCATCCAGCAGAGGGCCCTAGCCTGCACCGAGGAGGGGCTCATGGTGAGGTTTCCCGGAGGCTTTGCAATGCGCTCAGGCGAGCTGGAGGCTCCCTTTCATCTCGGGGGACCACAGCTTGCTCTCTCAGGGCGCTTTCTGGTCCTGACCCCCAGCCCCAGGGCAGGACTAGCGCTCTGCTAGTCTCTTGTTTTTAGTGAACTTTCAAACCCTCCAGGTGTGTTGGCTTGTCTGGCTGTGACTGGCCACCAGGTGGCGGCCTCGCACCGTCTCCCCGCCAGAGCCTTGCCGCTGCCTCCTTGGGAGGAGGTGTGAGATGCATTTTTTTTTCATAATTTTATTGATAAACAAATAGCAATGAGACAGTTTCAAATCAAATTGGTAAGACAGTTTCAATAATTAACACTTTGCATACCTTCTTCCTAGTGGTTAATTGCTGTACAAGATGCAGACATGATATCCTATTTAAAAACACCATTAGAACAAATTACATTCTATAGTTATAGAGAATGTAACTATATATCTATCCTAACCATTTTGAATACACAGATACAAAATGGACATTCATCTGTATACCCTTTTTTTTTGTTAAGCTCCATTATTTGAATATTATAGGTGTGTAAACTCAGCAAAATATTCTAAAAGAGTCCAGTAGCCCATAATAGTACTGAGTCTTCTGCTTTACTGACAATGTCAGAAACTGTTGACCTGAGTCCCCTACAGCTCAACATAACAGCATGGCTTTATTTCTTATATTTCATTTTTCTACTTTTCTGCTGGATGGTTAAGACCAAGGTAAAGCAGGACCTATACAACAAGAGTTGTAGCTTTTGGGTCTGATAAGGTCAGTGAAATACCCTCAGGATTTATCCTGAGATCCTGTACCTCAGATTGTTTGTCAGTATCAGCCATGTGGATGAGTCACGGCCATTGCTTGGCCAATGTGCTCTCTGTGAAAGCCTGAGAGAATGTTTTCTCTCCATGTGACAGTGAGATGCATTTTTTTAAACTTTCCCCAGTAGTTTCAAATCTGCATGTCCTAGGCTTCTAGAAGAATGATATACTGAAAACTTGATGGCAGGAGCTGCACAGGCTTGTCTTCCAAAGAAAAGTACTGTTTCAAGGGAGAGACAACTTCTAGGGATACCGCAGAGCTATTTCAAAAATCATTCGGAACAAGGCCTGTGAGTGGAAGTGAGTGCCTGGGTCACATTCTGTTAAGAGGTAATAAATACAGCTGAGCTTAAAACTTAAAAAAATAAATGAAAAAGTAAATAAAAATAAATGAAAAAATTAAAAGGAGATGGAAGTGGTGTTGTGGGTATGTTATTTTAACGCTGTGGGAGGCTGAGGCAGGATGAGTGAAAGTTGGGGCATAGCCTGTGCAACCCTGTCTCTAAACAAAAATATAAAAGAGGCTGAGGATGAGGCTTGTAGCTCAGCCCGGGGTTCAATCACCAGTATACACCGAGAGGACTGGGGACCTGCCAGTCTGTCCTCCCTCAGCCACAGACATGAGCTCAGAGAGGGCTGGGTGGTGCCCCAGGTCCTGCAGTTTCCTGAGTCCCTGAAGGTCCAACATTCGCCAAAGAAGGTACGAGTTCCTTCCATGTTTTGCCACTTGGATGCCCCAGGGGAAGGGGAAAGAAAATCTGCAGATCCCTCTACTTCCCAGGCTGTCACCCCAGTGAGCCAGGACCCCGGTGAGCACAGTGGCGGCTTCTCAGAGACCATTCCTGGGCCAGCTGCTGCGCGGCTGGTTTTATATTGACTGGTACAGGAAGAACACACGCTTTGTTGGGCCTGCTGGCCTGTGGGCCGGCTGCGGGGACTCCAGCGAGTCTTGCACTGCACGGAAAAGGAGACCGAGACCTTGTGCTGGGTGCCCAGGCCCAGCGGTGGGCAGTGGGGACCTCTAAGAAGCATTCATCCCTGTGGATCCGGAGGCCAAGGAAGAACAGACTCGGGGCCTGGGCTGTGTGCTGGGTCCCCACACCATGGATGTTTGTGGAGAGCTTGTTCCCCTGAAGTGCTGGGAGAGGGCCAGGGGATGTCCCCTCCTACTCAGGAGAGAGCCTGGCACCTGACCAGAGGCCACTCTACCACCCAGTGACCTGAACTTGTGGCCTGGGGCAGCACCCCACAAGTAGGTCCGCCAGCCACTAGGAGCCGCTGTCACCAAGTGGCCAGTCTCCTCCCTAGATGACTCCTGCCTGCATAGCTTCACATCTCAACACCAGACAGGAGTCTTAGTCTCTTGGTCCCTGAGCCAACATGGGAACCAGTGGGACCAGAAAGCCAAACAGCTTTGGCAGCTGCCCCAGATTATACACCAAGGTCCACTGAGGCAGAAGTGCCGCCTTGCCTCAGCCTCTCCTCCATCCTCAGGATTGTTCCTACTCCCCTCTTGCAGCTCACCCCTGTCCCGGGGGAGCTGGCACCCCTTGGGACCATCTCTGCTGGAAAGGCGACTGCTGCCCTTGGTGATGAGAGCTGTCCCACAGCAGCATGGTGGCAGAGGGGGCAAGGGTCAAAGCCCCAAAGCTCTGCCACCAGAGTCAGGGACAGACAAGTGACGCATCTGGTCTCAACTGAGCCTGTGGGAAGGGCGTATCCTCCCTCCTGCTGTCCTGGTAGTGGGCTACACGATGTTTTCTTTAGAAATGGCTCACTGGTGCTGGAGATTTAGCTCAGTAGCACAGCACCTGCTTGGTAAGCACAAGGTCATGAGTTTGATTCCTAGCACAAAAAGAAAAAAAAAAAGTAAGAAAAAAGAAAGAAGGAACCGGTAGAAATGGCTCATCTATGTAATATTCCATGTCCCTCTTCCCTGGAACCTGATCATGGCACCTGTGGGTAAGGATGGTCAGCATCTCCTGAGGATGCTGGCCCCACCCCCAGAGCTGGCTCCCCTGAGAATGGACCTTTCCAACATACTCCCCACGGACGGTGATGCTGGCTTTGAAAAGCTCTGTCTGCAATATGACAGAAGAATTGGATAAGTCAATGATAGTGCCACAAGTTTGTTTGAAAAATACAGCGTAGGGCCTAGGGAGATAGCTCAGAAGAATAAGTGCTTGCCTGGTAAGCGTAGGGTCCTGAGTTCAATCCCTGGTACCACAAAAAAAAAAAAAAAAAAAAAAAAAAAAAAATTAAGACATACTGTGAAAAATACAGCGTAAAGGGGTACCAGAAAAACCAGTTCTGCACAGCAAACTTAGGTGGAACAAGAGAAAAGGAGGGTATAGCAAAAATGAAAGTACACACCACTGCGCGGGTTACCAAGCACAGCCACACACGCCTTCTGCTTTCTGTGATGGCCGGACCTTCTTATGCCATCCACTTCCGGTGTGAACGTGAGAGAAGTTCTACATACGGGTCCTGGCCTTATCAAGGGACGGTGTGATCGACAGGCCCCGCCCATTTTCCCAGCCCTATCTCCTATATCAAGAGGGCACCCAGTAGTCAGGAAAGAGATAAGGGTGCTGCTCAGCAGCTCTGCTTTGAGGGCACAGGAGTGAGAAGGCCAGCAGTGCCATGTGGACACAGGTACCTGCTCAGTGGAGTGGGGATGGGCAGGTGCCAGTCACTCAGTCCCATTGGTGTACAGTGGCCAAGCAGAAAGGTGGACAGTGGGCACGTCTTCTCGTTTGCATCTGGCTCACAGGCCAGCGTCTTCCAAGAAAAGAACAGCTTGGTGGAAAGACCTAAGCTGCAGAACACACTAAGGCAATAGGAACAACAGTTCCCACCCCTGCCACCTAACCATGGGGCATCAAGGGGAATCTGGGAGGGTTGGCCCCGCCTGACCCAGCCCCTGAGTCACTTCTGACTCAGATCTCTACTACAGAGATGGAGTAACTGGGCTGGAAAGTCTGTGTATGTGTCCCCTCCCCCCCGAATTCCAGGGTCCTCTCTCTCCTCCTGCCCTGAGCTTTTAGCGTCTGTCTGCGAATCCAGCCCCAGCCCCATCTGGAGGCCCCGCTGTCTCCCAAGTGTTGCCAGCCCAG